TGGGGGAGAAGGGGCATAGTGGGGGTCACGGGGGCTGTGGGGCTGGAAGGACACGTGGGGGTGGGGGCGTTGGGGCAGTGAGGGGGGGGCGTTGGGGAAGGGGGTGGAGATCATGGGGGTTTGGGGGCAGAGAGAGGGTGTGGGGGTCACAGGGGCAGTGAGGGGGAGAGGGGGCATAGGGGAAGGGGATGAGGGTCATGGAGGCCGTGGGGGTGGGGGCATTGGGGCAGGGACGGGGAGAGAGGGGCTGGGGGTCATGGGGGCAGAGAGCAGGTATAGGGGTGGGGGTCATAGGGGTGTTGGGGCAGAGAGAGGGAATGGGGGTGGGGGTCATAGGGGTGTTGGGGCACTGAGGGGGAGAGGGGGCCTCGGGGAAGGGGATGAGGGTCATGGAGGCCGTGGGGGTGGGGGGCATTGGGGCAGGAAGGGGGAATGGGGGTGGGGGGCATGGGGCAGTGAGTGGGAGAGGGGGGAATAGGGGAAGATGATGGGGGTCATGGAGGCTGTGGGGGCTTTGGAGCAGGGAGGAGATGGGGTCCATAGGGCCTGTGGGGGGAATGAAAGGGGGCCTGGGGAGAGTGTGTTGGGGATTTGGGGTGTCACAGGGCTGTGTGAGGGGAATGCAAGGAGACGGGAGGAGGAGGCATTGGGTATTTGGGAGCCATGGGGGCTATGAGAGGGAATGAAAAGGGAAGGGGGTGCTGGGGATTTGGGAGGGTCATGAGGGCTATGGGAGGAGGTAGAGGGGGATGTTGGGGACTTGGGAGATAATGGGGAGAGGAAGGGGGGACATGCACGACTGTCCGGGAAGTGTTGACAAGGGAAAGTGGGAGCAAAGGGGCCAGAGGACCGGTTAGGGGACAGGGATGTGTGGGGCAGAGGAGAGGGGTTGTGAGGAAGCAGGACGTTGGGGTGGGGCGTGGGGGCTGTGGCATATGCTCTTTGTGCCTGGACAGTGTGGTTATTTGGTGCTTTCCAACCACTCAGAGCAGTGGTTCTCAACCTGTTTACCACTGTGGGCTGCAGGTTGAGAACCACAGTGTGTGTCGTCCCCGTCTCCCTCCCCCGTTCCCCCCACCCAATCCCTCCACAATCCTTTATGCCTAGCGCCCCTGCCGAGAGTGGGGCCAGGAACAGAGCGCTTGGCCAGGCAGCCAGGACCTGGACCCCCATGTGGGACTGGGCATCTGGACGCCGGACCCTGCAGAGGGGCCAGACACCAGACCCCCATGCGGGGCCGGACCCTGGGACCCCGCTGTGCGGGGTCGGTTGTCCAGACCCGGAAGTGCGGGGCCGGGCATCCGGTAGCTGGACCCACACCCTGGAGCTGGGCAGCTGGAGCCAAGGATCCTGCAACACGGGGCCAGGCAGCCAGAGCCCTGGTCCCTGCTGCATGGGGTCTGGCAGCTGGACCCTGGGACCCCACTGGGTGGGGCCAGGCAGCCAGACCTGGGGACCCTACCGTGCAGGGCCAGGTGTTTGGACCCCGGGCAGCCCGCAGCCGGACCTGGACACCCTCCCACCTCGTGTGGGGCCTGGCAGCTGGACCCAACCCCTGCAGCTGAGCACCACCTAAAACCTGGCGGTGGTGCAGCACCCCAGCAAAGCTCTAACTCCCAGTACTCTCACTGCCCAGAGCCTCCCTCCCCAACCTACCCATTGACCCAATCTCTCCCACCCCCTGCAGCACTCACCAGCCCCCTGCTGGCAGCAGCACTCCTGCAGGCTGCCTTACTCTTTCTCTCTCTCCCCCTCTGCCAGCCCCGCCCCCTGCCAGATCCAGGGCCGTCCTTAGGCATATGCAGCTGTGTAGGGCACCATGAAATTTGGGATTTCATGGTGCCCTAGGCAGCTGCGTGCTGCATACGCGGCAGCACCAGCCCCGGCGACCAGCCGTATCCCTCGTCCAGCCCCCCTGCAAGGGGCAGGGCCATCCCTAGGGGAGGCATGGGGCCCTGGACAACTCCCTCCGCCCTGCCTCTTACCCTTCCCCCCTGCTCCGCCCCCGGGCCGCCCCCATTCCACCTCTTCCCCCAGCAACCCCGCACTCACTGGCACCGACGGGCAGCGGAGCAACCCGGCCCCAGCCCGCTCTACTCCGCCAGCTCCCAGCCGCGGCGCTCCACTTCCCGCTGCCAGTGCATGCGGGGAAAGGATCGCCCCCTGCACTCACCAGCGGTGGGAAGCGGAGAGATGTGGCCCCAGCCCGCTCCGCTTCCCTTGCCCCGCCCCCAGCCATGTCGCTCGGGTTGGGGAAAGGACCGCCCCAGGCTCTCACCGGCGGCGGGAAACGGAGCGCCGTGGCTGAGAGCTGGCGGAGTAGAGTGGGCTGGGGGTGGGCTGCTCTGCTTCCCGCTGCTGCCGGTGAGTGGGGGATCCCTTCCCCCAAGCCCCCTGCCCCGAGCGACACGGCTGGGGCCGGGGCGAGAGAACTGGGGGTGGGGGGGGGGAGGCCTGCGGCCCCACACAGCCCTGCCGCAGGGGGGGCTGCGTAGGGCACCCAAATGGCTTGGGACGGCCCTGGCCAGACCAGCGTGGCAAATTTTGGATTTTTTTTTTAGCACACAGGTGTGTGCTAATTGGGCCGCATGCAGCCCAGGGGCCGCAGTTTGAGAACCACTGACTCAGAGAGATCCATGGATCAAGTTGGTTGTGAGGGGTTTGGGGTGTGACGGACTGAAATGTCGACCAGTCTAGGCTGCCAACGGACTGGCGTGACAACCTGGCTTTCAAGGAAATAAAGGACTGCTTGAAAAATATGAGGGTGAAAGGCAAATTGTCTGCTTCCCATTTGGCCCCCGTTTTAAATTTAGCAAGGACCTGCTTTTATAAAACCTTATAGCAACACAAACTGCCTTCCACAGTTTGTACTTTAACACAGTTGCTTAAAAACAGCATTCCCACAAAATCCCAATGGAAATATGTTTTGAAGCAAACAAATAGTGCCCATGTGGTGGTGTGTGAAAGTTGCAGGCTACAGCAAGTGGGAGCTGAAAGTGAAACTGACCATAAGCAAAACTGGATTCACTTTTATTGTTATGCACATTGTGGGGACACCCACAGTAAGTTAGGCGCTTTCCAAACACAGAGGAAGACAGTCCCAGCCACAAAGAGCTTACAGTGTAAAAACGACAAACTATAAGGGAAAGGGATGTAGTACGCAAGCAGAGTGATGAATTGCGTGTTTCGCTGTAGCTTATTTTTAGATTTCCCTCTGATCATCCTCCCTTCACAGGTTAGCCCCCTCTGCTTTCCCCACAGCATTTCCCACCTTCAAATCTAATGGTCTTTTATGCCCCTCTGTACCTGTACCTCCCTCATAAAGATGACCCTAGTCAATCATGTGATAAGTAAGTGAAATAGTAAGTAGATGGCTTAGGCCCAGATCCTACAGACTTTTAAACTTTGCAGGCTTAATAAACGGAAAATTATACCGAGCTAACTACATGTATTAGGGTTGTGATTTTTTTAAGTAGTTATACCAGTACAGACCTATTGTGAACACAGTCATATCCATATAAAGATGTAGCTTATTGGTCTTCCTGTGTGGAAATGTGATATTGGTGTAAGCATTTTTATACCATTATAACTGTCATAAGAGGAGCGTTGTACTGCTTTAACTATAGCAGTGTAGTTCAAGCAGTTTAGACAAATCCTAAACTAGTTTCCTGTGAGTGTGTGGCAGAATTTTATCTGCAGGAAGGATTTAAGAGAGGAGAGGGAAGTGGTTTTGTGGGCTGATCCCAAAAGGGTGTTTTTTCTATAGAGCTGCTTGAAACTTTATTTTGTGTTTGTGGGAATTTTGAAAGCATGCTCATGCCATTGTTCTTATTTCTAAATTAACCAATTTTTCATTTTCTGCAGGTTTTTTAAAATTATTGTTTTCCATTTTCAAAATCAACAGTTTTCAAAAAATAAAATGATCAAATTTCTAATTTTTTAAAATGTATATAAAATAGATCAGATTTTTGCATCATAGACCCCTCTTCTTTTTTCAGTTGGTCATAAGTTGCTGGGACGGAGAGGGAGAATGTTTGGAGCTGAAACTTTCCATGCTTAGGCTTAGCTCTAAAGGTGACTTTCTTTTCTTTTTTTAGAGAGTGAGCTAAAATGTTTTTGGATTGTGAGCAATTGGGGTGGGTAGAAACACTTTCCTACTCTAAGAAATTTTTCGTGTGTGTGTGTGCGCGCGCGCGCGCATACACACACAGTGTTTGAATTAGGCCATCCGTGGATAATTTAGGCAATCTTAATATACTTAGGCATAAGAATAGCCAAATTATCATTACTTCAAATTCACGGCAGATCAGAGATCATTGTGCAAATCTATATTTTAGAAGATCATGTTTCATACAACATATGGCACAACCTTCAGCATGTATTATCTTGGAGCGGTTCACATTTCCCCCCATACATGTATTCAGTAATTCAGATATGCAGAAACTGTAAACATATAACACATAATGATATCTAGATGTCATTCCTAGAGGACTCGGAAGGGTATAAGGAAAATAATTTTTTTAACTATTTCTTAGTAGGCAAAAACCTCACCTTAGTATAAGATTCTATGGCTAGAGCCCTGCAAATCTGCAGATATCCACAGACCATGTTTGTGGATTGGATGCAGATACAAATTTTATATCTGTGCAGGGCTCTATCTATGGCCCATGTTATGCAGGAGGAGAGACTAGACTAATTGTTCCTTCTGGCCTAACACTCTATGAACTAGGAACTGTATTTAAATTAGAGTTTGAATTGACATAAAAGCGAAAAAAAGATTCTCTGCTCCCTTTACTCCACCATCCAATGATACACATGTCCCAACAAGGCTACTAACTAGGCAATGTAGTCTGGGGTGACCCTAGCAGGATGTCAGAGGGTAGGTCTACACTTACCCGGTAGTTCGGCGGCAAGCAAATCGAACTTCTGGGTTCGACTTATCGTGTCTTGTCTGGACGCGATAAGTCGAACCCAGAAGTGCTCGCCGTCGACTGCGGTACTCCAGCTCGGCGAGAGGAGTACGCGAAGTCGACGGGGGAGCCTGCCTGCCGCGTCTGGATGGAGGTAAGTTGGAACTAAGGTACTTCGAACTTCAGCTACGTTATTCACGTAGCTGAAGTTGCGTAATTTTGTTCGAATTGGGGGGTTAGTGTAGACCTGCCCAGACTGATGGGCTTTAGTTTTAATATATAAAATCAGCTATGTGGATGTTAGACAGGCTGCGCTGTTCTTCATAAGAGAAAACAGGAGAAGGGAGGGACTCTGACACCTCTCAAAGGTCCTTTTGTGTCCAAAAACTTTGTCCCCACCAGCTTCCAAGAAGGTCTTGCCTTTCCTAGAGAATATACTTTCTAAAGGAGTGTGGGCTTCATCCTGCACCATTAAAGTTAGTCAGAGTTTTTCCATTGATGTGAATGGATGCAGGATCAAGCCCTATAATAGAGGCTTTAATCTGTTATAGCATTTTTATTATTACTATTACAAACATTAGTCATGTAAGATATGTCTACACAGCATCTCGGAGCGCGCCTCACAGGCCGAGTCCACAGACTTTTGGTGGTGGGGCTCACACCAGCGCACTAAACAAAAGACGTTGATGGTGCTTTGATATTAGCTTGTGGGGTAGGCTTTAGAGCCCAAGCTGCAGCCCAAACAGCAACGTTAAAGCAATGTCTGCATAGCTGTTTTGAGCATGCTAGTGCAAGCTGTGCTGACATAAGTCCAGGCCCAGGCTGGCTGGGAGGTTTGTTCCCCGATGCAGTGTAGACAAACCCATATAGGTTTATAACCTTTTTTTCCTGTTTCCCCTGTAGCCTTACAACAACTGTGGTTTCTGGGAGCCTCTAAACAAGTCATCCTCAAGCCTCTCAAGGTCTGTGTACCTAGCCCTCTGCTTTGTTCGGAGACTTGCAGAATTTTGTTTACATGGTGAGTGACTAAGAAAAAGGAGCAATTGTTTTAACATTTAGATGTTTCGAAACATTGCATTATGTTGAGTTGCTCCAAACTGAAAACACTGGGGTAATAGTATTACACATGGGATAGCGTCAATTTAAAAATTTGGCCTAGATCTTGAGTTGGTGTAGCTCTGTTGAAGCAAATAATGCTGTAGCCTTGTCAGCTTCATACTATGGTATAGATGGGCTATTGTATTCCTGTACTCCCAAAACAATTTTGCATGTTTGTTTGAATGAAATTGGACAAAGCTCTGATCTGTACAGTCTTATAACTTAGTCTTGCATAGAGCTGTTGTATGACATTTTCCCTAATACTTTTCCTTTCCTCCCAGAACTTTGTTGCTCAACCATGTGAGCTTAGAGATGCAGTCAGTCTTATCTCAAATCCTCTACTGAAACTCAAAAGCAAGGTTGAAAATGTAAAGCTGAGGCACTTGCGTCAGCAGCAGTAAAGTCGCTGTGAGCTCTTCTCCCTGTTCCTAACAACTGCTCGCTCTTGAAAAGCAGCAATAGCCAAATAAGGTGCCGAAGCACAGGACTGAGATTTAGACATAAATGATATCTACCAGATCTGCCTTCAGTTTAGCTCCCACGCCTGACACTTCTTGTGGACTTCTGCCTTTTCTTTCTGCAACTCGAAGTGGAATGCTTTCTCTGTGACTCTACGGGCAGTTTTATTTAGAAAACAGCTATCCTCGCTGGCACTGGTTGGACTCTGCAACAATTGGTTCGTTAGATAAATATAGCCCACTTTTCTGTTTATAAACAATACAACCCAAAATCTTGTTTGCTCAAATGTTCATAAGTAGCAAATTTAACAGGACCCAGACCTGCTCAAAGGAAACCGCTGTTTCGAATCCTAAGGAATGTTCATGAACACTGCACTATTCGCCCAACTCTAGACTGTTGCCTTTCTATCTGAGCTGAGTTTACTCTTCAGCAAAGGCAACATTTCTGAAAAATCCTAGAAAGGAGAAGACAAGAGCAATCTTTTTCTCCGTGGCATTTTTGCATTTGTAATGTGTTACTTCCTATATGCTTTTAATAATCATTATTAAAATAATCATTTCATTTCTGTGTTTATATTTCCCTTACATAACACCTTCCATCTGAGGATTTCAGAGTGCTTTACAGACTTTATTTAATTAGCTTCAACCATTACTTTCCTCCCTCGGAAACATTTTGAAAAAAAAATGTAGTACTGAGAGTAAATTCTGAAGCAGTAGCAAGTAAAAAGAGTTTAGGCCTGGGAATAATAGCACCCACCCCAATCAGATAGAATGAGAATCAATAGAAGAACATTCTGCAGCTGTAAGTGGTTTAGCAGATCTGCTACATTGCTCCCTGTCCCTCAAATATTCCACTCAGCCCTCCTCCCCTAACAATGCCCCTCCTGACCACTGAGAGCTAGGGTCCCTTTCCCTCCAAGGGAATTACTGCCTTGTCCAAGTACTCTATGCCCTGGTCTACACTGGGTGTGTGTGTGTGAAATTGATCTAAGTTACGCAACTTCAGCTTCACGTAGCTGAAGTCGACATACTTAGATCTACTCACCATGGTGTCTTCACCGCGGTGAGTCGACTGCTGCCGTTCCCCCGTCGACTCCGCCTGCACCTCTCGCGGTGCTGGAGTACAGGAGTTGACGGGAGAGGGCTCGGGGGTCGATTTATTGCATCTAGACTAGATGCGATAAATCGATCCCCACTGGATCGATCGCTGCTCACCCATCCGGTGGGTAGTGTAGACATACCCTCAGATTGCAAAACCTGCTTTCTGTGAGCCCAGATGATCTCTGCAGCCTGTTTATATTCTGCTGCCCACTTAATTTCAACAGCACTGACACACGGTTGAACTGAGTGCCATTGTCCCTGTGATTGACTGGAACACGGACTTGCAGCGTGGAATGCAGCAGCATATAAACAGAGCTAACCAGTAATATGAAAACCCTACTCTTAAACCTTGCACGGGGGGAGGGGGAGGAAATCGCTCCATCTATTTCCTGGTGACTGTCTGGCATGAGAGTACTTGCCAGAAGTTCATAGTATTACTGACAAGAGCTGGTGAATAGTGAAAATTTTTTGAACATGAGAGCTCATTTGGTCCAGCCAGATTTGTCCGCTTTATACTTTGCCATTTCACAGATGTTTGTATGACTGATTTTTGTTCACCTGAATATTAGGGGAGGGTCTTTTATTCTTGTGCTCAAGCGCATTCATTGCTCTGCCTACATACACAATTATTCAAGGGCACTGTAACAGAAAGGAAGGATTGGCTTGTGGTGAAAGCACTGGACGGGGCGTGGGAAATTTCGTTTCTAGCCCCAGCTTGGTCACAGGCTTCTTGTGTAACCTTGGGTAAAATCACTTATCTCTGCATGTGTCAGTTCCCCATCTGTAAAATGGGAATAATGCTACTTTCCTGTCTGGTTTATCTACTTAGGACATAGACTGTCTCTTACTGTGTTTTGTATAGTGTGTAGCACGACAGGGCCTTGATCTCAAGTGCCCCTAGATGCCACTGTATTACAAATCATTAATAATAATTTTGACACAAGAAAAATAAGTGTGAAATCTATTAGACAGACAATAAATCTGGTTGGTGTCTTCCTTAGGAAGGAGCTCAGTTATATTTAAATATGAATCTATAGCTATAATAATGATGCTTAGCTTGTATATAGTAAGATCTCATCAGTAGAACTTAAGTGCTTCAGCCAAATATGTTCTTTCTTGTGCAATAGGTCAGGAAAATATTTTAAATATCCCAACGTTTCCTAGGCCTTCTCATCTTCTACAGCTCTCACCACAAAAGGGCCCCATGGGCTCTGCCTGCCTCATTCAAAGCGCTAATGGTTTCTTCAGGCATCACCATTGTTTATAAAATGGAACAGAAACCATGCCTTCTGACGACCAAATACCTACTTCAAAATACTGAATATCCAAAGGATCGCTTGCTACAGACAGTTCATGAAAACCCAACCAGGTTCTTCAACAGTGTGTCAAACATTGACAAATTGTCGTGGACAATTCCTGAACAGAAGACAGAGCCAAACTCTGCCAATAAATTGTTCATAACAAATAGTTCGAACAGCTCTAGTGGCTACACTTAGTTTAGATTTTTCAGACATTTTACTGTCGAAGTTAGTCTTCAGTCTAGTTCTTTTGTCTTTCATGTGCTGTCATATGGAAACTATGTGAGCTTGCACTTCCAACGCTAGCTCCAAAATCATGAATGCTAGAGAGTGGGTCTGTTGCAATTTCTCAGAAGGGAGTCAAGTTGTGGGCTTCAGCCAAACCACCTTGGGTCAGATGTGATTGATACTCTCTATCAAAGGACAGCCCATAGAATCACAGAGTTTAAGTCCTGATGGAACCATTATGATCATCTAGTCTGAGCTCTTGCATAACACAGGCCAAAGAATCTCACGGACTGGTTCTTGTATTAAGCTCAAATTCTGTTTGAGCACTGAAAGACACTGTGCCTTGATGTAAGGATGTCAAATGAGAGAGACTCCACCTCCTCCCTAGTTGTTCAAGTAGTTAATTACCCTCACTGTAAAAAATTGCACCTCGTATGTGATTTGTCTAGCTTCAGTTTCCAAGCATTGGTCTTGTTATGCCCTTGTCTGCTAAATAAAGAGCCTCTCAGATCAGAAATGATCTCCTCACATGCTGCAGGAAGTGGTGCTGATGTTTGAACAGGTTGCAACACTGCCCCAATGATATAGCACAGGGATTCTTAACAGTGAACCATCTCTTCAGAGAGATTGTTGTGTGGACAGATTCCTCTCCTTTGACAGTCCCTTAGGACTGCCTTCCCCCTCTTTACAATAGCATAACATCTCCAGGGAAACTACAGCAATGACTTACATGGAAAAGTAATATTAAGATGGTATTTGTATATTCTTTGCTGGGATCTAGGAGGAGAGCCAGCATTGTTTCACCAGCCACCTTGGACCACAGTTTGAGAACCACCGCTCTAAGTTGTCTGATATTAGAGCGCATCCTGCTAATGGAGGTGCCGGCTCTAGGCTGAAATACAAAACTGAGGCCCTCACCACTTTGCAGTTATTAAAAAACCTCCATGGAATTCTCCATAGTAGATGGGGTGTTCGCTTCAGCTTTCTGGCTAAATTCCACATTCTGTCTACCGACGGTTATTACTATGGAATATTTTTCAAAGTCTGTCTTGCATTATTGTGTATTCTTGCATCACCAACCATGTAAAGGCTGCCATCTTCCATCCCAGAGAGAGCTGCATTTTGATGATGTAATCCCTCTATGAAATCAGTTTGTTGCGCTCTCTGGCTAAAAGGGAGTGTTTAAATGCCAGTCATGGCCATTTATTATGAGAAGATAAATACTGTAGCAGAGATGCCGCTCAAAGCTAATTCCAAGAATGCCTTACAGGGTGGCTGATTGGAATTAAAGCTGGAAGGTCAGCAGAAATGCCAACCCACATTTTAAAAAAAAGTGATGTTTTTTGTTTGCTTTCTTATTTTTGCACCTATGACCGTCACAGTTTCAAGCTTTTCTCCACAGCCGTAAGGGCTTCCCTTTTATCTGACTTTTAAAAAAAACAAAGTTGAAACTTAAAGACCCAGCTCCTGTGGATGTAAGAAAAAATACCAACTATTGTGAGCTCCACACTAAAATTCCTGGAGTTGACAGTACTAGATTACTGGAAAAAATATCAATATAATTATTCACCGACCATCAGGAAAAAAACTTCACCAGTCATTTGCTGACTGTTGTTCTACTATCTAAAGAGCTGACCAAATAGTGGAAAACATCTATTTGTAAACAATTTGTTGGGCAGCCAGTGGAAAAAAATGCATCAAATACATTATTCATAAATGCTATTCAACCATCTCCAGTGAGAATGCTGTGATAGCAGCCAGAGGCTCTGCACGCCTTCACAGGGGAGTAAACACCAAACACCAAAGTATTCTTCACCAGCATTGCAAAAACAAAGCAGCCTCCAGCTAAACAAGGGAAGTAAAGTTCTATTCTATCAGATCCAGCACCCATCGCCTTGGGATTTGCACCCTACCTTCCTCCCGTCGATCTGTTATTTGTAATGAGTTGTTAACATGAAAATCTTGGTGTCCACTTAAATGCCGACATTATTAAGCACGGCAATTTAAAAAGCACACACACAAACAGAGCCAAGACACTTAAACCAAACCACATTTTCCTTTATCACTTTTCTTCCCCCACATTCTTCTAGGATGGGCTTTTTGCCCAAGTTCTTCCAAACAGGGCTTTTTTCTCACACTGTTAGCCCTTGAGTGGAGTTTTCCCTGGGTTGTTAGCAGGCTACCCACCTTTGTAGAACATGCATTTAGCTTCAGGCTAGGCTAGGATGACCAGACAGCAAGTGTGAAAAATCGGGACGGGGGTGTGGGGGGGTAATAGGAGCCTATATAAGAAAAAGACCCAAAAATCAGGACTGTCCCTATAAAATCGGGACATCTGGTCACCCTAGGCTAGGCTGATGACTGTCATGTAATAATTGTTTCAAACTGTTTACACAAATCACCTGGAAGGAAGCTCTGGGGAGAGCCAAGCCTAGGGTTTGTTCCCAGAGACTCACAGCTCAGCTCTCACTGGAAGCCAGAATCCAAGGCTCAGTTTTGATCTTTGGTGTGTGCAGAGTCGGGCTTCTGCTATTTTAACAAGTGGCTCCCACAAAAAAACCTCCAAAACCCAGTCTCCTTAAGGAGTGATAAACCTTGTCTAGTAGGGCGCCTGTGTTTGCAGAGGAGAGAAACTAGCAACTTGGGGACAGTTTCCCTGTGTAAACAGAAATGCTTTTTCCTGGCTGTAATCAAGGAAGGAGGCAGACGAGCTTCTATCAGTAATTGCACTGACTGGAAATGTTTATCTTTGCTGGCTAGGCAAATCCATGGTGGAGCACACTGTCCTGTTGTGTAATCTGAAGGTGGGGTAGGGGTGGAGACCTTGTAGGCGACTCCA